TTAACTCATCTCCATTTCAGTGTTACTCTAACTCCCACCACCACAATTAAATGTTACCTGATGCTGTTTCTGACATATTGTTGTTTAAAAGAGCACTCCAAGCACCATAACCACTAGAGCCTCCTCCTGTAGTCATAATGGCGCAATACGTGCTGTAGTGGTTACTGTCCTTGGAGTCTCCCTTTAAATATTTAGAGCTAAATGCAGATTGTATTTGTAATTGAGCAGAATGATGTAACCATGTCTTGAAAAGAACTGCAAATTCAATCATATAAAGAAGTTTAATCCATGAATATATTATATATTAAACTGGTTCATGGATTGCATGGTGAAACTTACCAGGAAAGGTTAAAGGATCTTAACATGTACAGCTTGGAGGAAAGACGAGACAGGGTAGAAACATTTAAATACATAAAGGGAATCAACACAGTAAAGGAGGAGACTATATTTAAAAGAAGAAAAACTACCACTACAAGAGGACATAGTCTTAAATTAGAGGGACAAATGTTTAAATATGAAGAATTACTTTACTGGGATTGTAGTGGATGCATGGAATAGCCTTCCGGCTTAAAAGGATACTGTAGTGCACACTCCCCCTCCCTCGCACTCCCCCGCACCCCGGTAAATAAGGGGTTGAATAAAGGGTTGAATACTAATAAAAATAATATTCAGAAAATTGGGCAGACTAGATGGGCCAAATGGTTCTTATCTGCCGTCACATTCTATGTTTCTATATATTAGTCATAAGCATGTGTTTGCAAACACATCAGATAATATAGATATGTCTTAATGGTTTCCATTTAATGACAAAACAAATTATAGTAATGATTAGCGGCAAAAATATGAGGATATGAGGCAGAAATCAATTTTGTTCACCCCACACTTGTTTTAATAATTTTCTCCATGAGAAGGACTTCAATTCATGGTGGTCTAGTGGAAAGGCTCATGGAATATCAATGTCTCAGTTTTTTTCCCTGTGCCTGTGTATGATATGAGTAAGGCATGACATTACATTAAGTACCTGTTAGAATGTGGTGAGAGACATAAGGGGTGCAGTGCTTTGAATTATGGGGGGCATCCCATTTGCTGTATAGTTTGGGTTGAGCTCCATTTTCCTGTTGTTTGATTTTGTGCAGTGCTCCTGGCCAGCCTGGAGTGCAGTTTGTTTTAGAGATGCTGGTTGTTTCGAGGTACACTGTTCTTGTGTTTCTGAACCACATGGATGCCGTGATCAGTGGCCATGGTTACAGCTGTACTGCAAATCTTCCTCCTACAATCAGAAATGTATTCCCTAGATACATGCTTCTCATCAAATGCTTCCATTTGCACACACCGCATTTTCTTTGGCTTTTCTTTCCATCTCATTCATGCCTTTTTTATCCTTTGGCACATTTGTTTTCCTCTATATTCCTTCTATTATTCCTGAGTTTCTCTTTTGTCCAAAGCCTTTATTTTCTACAATCATGTTTCTTTACTTCTCTTTACTCTTTTATTCCCTCCATCCGTTCTCATGCCTTTGCAACATTACATTGCTCTTCTTGACTTATCATGTCTATTTTTGTTACCCTTTACCCTTACAATATTTCTTCTTTCTGGTCCTTAGGTTTGAGCAACATCATTGGAATCATTGTCTACATATCAGCCAATGCTGGTGACCCTTCCAAGAGCGACTCCAAGAAAAACAGCTATTCGTATGGTTGGTCTTTCTATTTTGGGGCCCTCTCCTTCATCATTGCAGAAATGGTGGGGGTGCTGGCTGTTCACATGTTCATTGACCGCCACAAACAGCTGAGAGCGACAGCACGGGCCACGGACTACCTCCAGTCCTCTGCTATCACCCGCATCCCAAGCTATCGTTATCGTTATCAGAGGCGCAGTCGCTCAAGCTCCCGGTCCACGGAGCCATCTCACTCTCGTGATGCCTCTCCTGTGGGGCTTAAGGGCTTCAACACCCTCCCCTCCACTGAAATATCCATGTACACGCTGAGTCGCGATCCCCTCAAGTCAGCTGGGACCCCCACGGCCACTTATAACTCGGATAACAGCTTCCTACAAGTTCATAACTGTATACCCAAAGATAACAAGGACTCTGCGCACACCAACACAGCCAACCGCAGGACCACCCCAGTATGAAAATGTATTGAGGAAGAACACAAGAGAGACACAGAGGGAAAGAGAGGAAAGGGTCAGAAAGATATAGTGGGGTCAATATAAAAGGATCTGTGTATCACGCTTTTAGCTGTGAAATAATCTTCAGAAGAGGCCCCATTTTGGAGTTAAGCTAAGTTTCAGAACTGGCCTTTTCAATTAAATTCAGAAACAAAATATTAGTTTTAATCTTAATCAAATCATCAGATGACCCTTTAAGTGGAAAATGTTCTCTAATTGTAGATTTATCTTCATAAATGAGCAGTTATCAAATATAAGTTTAGAACAGTTATATTATAGTAATCCTAAATCCCAGTGACACCTTGATCCACTGATTACCATCAGTCATCAGTATCATGGGAACTGCAATTCTCAGTAGATGTATGGATTAATAACCTCCAAACACACACGATTTACTGTTAAGGTGCAGGACAACTCCAGGTCATTAAATTATTCACAAATTAAGTCAGGAAACAAATTTATATTAAGATGCCTTTTCTAACTGACATTGGGGAACTGGTAACAAAAAGCCCAAATGGAATGAGTCTGATACACAGATCCAGAGGTGTTATAGACAGTGCTCACCCTTTGTGAAATATCCTCTAAAGTTTTTTTTTTGCAGCACTGTACAGTGTGATACCACACCATATAAACCAGGGTTGTGCAACTGGTCATGCAGTCATGTATTTCCCATAATTCTCTGGAGGACAGATAATTATGGGAAATGTACTTCTACAGCAGCTAGAAAGTCTAGGTTGGACAACCCTGACTTAGACTAATCTTTAGAATGTTGTTCCATCATTCTGGAATCTTTGAAACTATTTTACAACGTTTAACTCTAGAGAACGTTTTTTTTAAAAACTATCCGATATCACAAATCATATTTATTTTTTTCTAGAATATCTTCTAGAACGTTTTGAAATACATAAATATTTAGGAAGAAATATAAGAACTAATTCTTTGTCATATGATATTTATTGGTTATTAACTACTTTAATGGTGTATATTAGGCATTTTTTTATGTTTACACAATTTTGAGGTTATATTTTGCAAAGGATTCATACTGTCTTTAAAACAGTCTTGCTTGTTTGGAGGTGAAAGACACATATGTATACTTGCCCTGTTACAAAAAGCTGCACTGTTTAGTGATGGTGTATCAACGGGTATTTTATAGGGGTAAATATATATTTCAGTTATAGGTACAATGCTTTTTGTGGCAGGTCCCCATAAGAACCAAATTTAGGCAATACTCTTAAAAGTCGAATGGCTTTAAAGAGAGACATTTGTCCTCGTTGGCATAGATACCAAGTCTTTATGTCCCAAAATAAGCACTGTACACTGTGGGTACATCATCATAGCATCATAATAAGAAAAACACACACCAAATATGCACTAAAAAATAATAATCGTGAACCTATTGTGATATTTATAATCTCTCCAGTATGTGACATTTGAATTATGAGCATATTAATATTCAGTATCATTATTCAGTGCAGTATTTTTAATTTTAATGAGCCTAGAAGTGTAGCATTAGTAATGATACAAAACAGTATATTCATTGACAATGTATTGCAGATAAGCTACATCATACAGTGATAGGTGTTCACTATTGGCTTATTAAGATACCCGTCATCATTACACAGTGCAGCATTTATTTTCCAAGGAAGATAGTGCATAAACATATTCAACGGCATAATATGATACCGAATATGTGTTATCATTGAACTAAATGTATTTTGAGAAGCATGTTCATTTTTGTCTTGGACAAACCGTCTCCTCCAAAAAAGCAGGCTGTTCCAGTTAACCTCTTCATTGCCTGTTGGGTTTGTAGCATATTTGCAATTTTCATTTCTGGCAATGAAAAGGTTAAGGTAAAAACAAAATGGAATGATAGAAAGGTGAAAGAAAAGTTGAAAGGGCTAGAGACCCAAACAGAACAAGAACACGCAAGTATGAAGAAATTAACAACCAAGAAGAACAAAAGAGATTTCTTAAAAAAAGACAAAAAAAATCAAAAACACATTTAAAAAAATCCCCAAAAGGATAGAATGAACCAAACGAAAAAAATGCATGAAACCCTCTATGTACCCGTTCATTTTACTGATTCATTTAAATAAGAAAAAAAATTCTAAGCAAAAGGACGAGAAAATGGGGGGCAAAAATAGGGAAGGGGGGTCCGAAACAAAAAAAAAACCACAGTAGGACGAAATTTTTCGAGACAAAGATCAAAAAAGTGGATTTTTTTGCCGGGTTGGGAGAGTTGGGTGGGGGTTAGGCTTTTTTGCTTTATTTCAAAGTATTTTATTTATTTATTTATTTGTTTATTTATTTATTTTATTACAAATTTAATGGAGGAGGGCTGTGTGGGGTTTGATGCAGACAATGCCAGGCCGGGTTTTTAATACATTTCTAGTGCAGGAATGGACAACTGGAGTCCTTCAGGTCTTGCTGCAGTACAGCTCACATCACACACTGATATCCGGATGCTGGCTGAGGATTTTGGGAGTTGTATGCCAACAACGGCTGGAGGTATACAGTTGCCTATGCGTATTCTAGAAATATAACACTGTGCCATACAAAGTCTCATTTCAGAGGCTAAAAAACAAAAAACACAATATTTCTGTTTTTGTGACAAATGTGTCTTTTTTCATAATTTTTTTCCTACCACTTAACCACCAGCCAGATCTGTCTGTCAAACTGACTAAGGGACCTAAGAAGTTCACTCACATACATATCTATGTTTATACATATAAATATATAGGTATGTTCATATCTATATATAAATGTATATATTTATATCTCCTTATATATAAAATATATGTATGTGCATATAGACTTTCAAATATGTATTTATTTTTTTAAGTATTTCTCATGAGTTTAACCAAATATAATTGGTTTTGTGGGATGGGACCTTTAAATCAAAAGTAACTAAATAATAGAAGACAGGGATGTCCAAGTCCAGTTTTAAAGGGCCAGGGCTAATATTTTGGGAGGGTGGAGGGGGGGCAGGGGAAGGTTAGTAGTGCTTTGTTTAATTACATGCAAAGCAAAGTGCTTACTCAAATGTTAATTAGAAAAAGCCTAAACTTTTAGTAGCTGATTGTGGCCCTCGAGAATCTGCGTGAATATCTTAGAAAGAAAACAAATCGCTACTAGTGTAACAATATAGGCTTTGGGGGCTGCACTATACCCTTCTTACGCCTGGTGTTCTAATGGGGAAACAAGGAAAACCGTTCCACTGATAGCAAATGACTAAATATCCCATTCCACTTGGAGCTATGTAATAAACACAAGAATAATATCATTTGAGTGGCACAAATCTCCTGATCCCCTTCTAATTAGACCACCAGCTCCTCTCTGCCTTCAAAGGTAAGCCACTGGACATGAGCAGGACTTAATCAGTGGTGAAAGATGGCCTAGCAACATGTATTCTCCCATCTCAGTGCTATGCCTTTGAAGATCTCCATCAATAGCATAGAGGACCGTATATAAGCGATATATTACATATCTGCAAAATATGAACATGTGCTCATTATCAAATTTCTGGCTATATGTACATTAATCGGGACAAACAAGAATTGCTGCAGATTTGCTGAGTTGAAAATCTCTGTTTAGTAAATATTTTAATGTGTATCTAGATGGATGGATAGAAAATAATTTTTTTTTAAATCAGTGTTCCAAAATAAATACGGAAGTCCTCTTCAGGCTGCAAACGCGCCTTTAGTCAGCTACCAAGTCGTTACGTGGCCGTGTTTCAACTCTAAAGTGAATCGTTCTCAAGCCTCCACCTTGCCCAGTCACCCCTTGGTGGCTGTAATAAAGGCACATTTGCAAATTTAAGAAGACTTTGATATTTATTTCAAAGCTGTCTGATGGTGATTGGTATGGTGAAGATAGCCAGTTGTTGCTTCTCTACACAGCTTTTGAAAAAGTATTAACTAAAGTTTAACCTCGGATGGCAAAACTGGTCAGTTACTAACTGACGGCTAAACTTCTGCTTTTAACATAGTTGATTGTAATGAATTTAATTTTATTTTCTTGGTTTCATAAGAACATTAATATATACTAAAACATAGCAGAGATGACCACATTCCACAGATCTCTAATGCGCAATGACGATCAAACCATGGAGCCCCTTAACCAGTGAAAGTGTAAAATTGGTTTACCATAATTTCTTGTAAAAAACCTTTTAAGAAGAATGTTGCCCACATTTATTTAAAATATGCTGGTGAATACCTTAAAATATACTAACTGTGTTATTTTGGTGAATGCAAGCCTAGTGATTTCGATGTTGCAAGGTACTGGAACCTGTTAAAGAAAATGCACTTTTTGATGTTAGAAAAATAAAAATGAAGGAGTTATGTTGCCATGGACTGATTGATGATATTCACATGTAACTGCCTGTAAATGCTTTGAATGTCTTCTGTCTGTATGGCTTTCTGTGTTTGTGTGCCTCTCTGCAGACAGTCTCACACATGTAGTTTGAGGTTTTTATAGTGTTAGAGTAAAACACTTGTGGATAGTTCTGTACTGCTCGGCTCTGCTACAGCTCAACTGATGTTGGTGCATGCGCAGGTAAATTAAACCAAACCAATATGGCGTTTATTGGCTTAATAACAAACGAGTGAATTGAAAACCAAATTGCAAGCCAAGCATTCTGCATTCAAAAACTGGTTCTGTGAGTCCGAGAATTTTACCAAATTACTTTAGACTAAATTTTGCAATTCACTACATCTGCTGCAATCATTTGGTTTCCAGTTCATTGCAATATGTTGATTAGTGAATAACGCTCTTAAGAAAAGAAAAAGTAATTGTCAGGAAGTCACAGGGGAACTGCAAACTTCAGGGTAAAATAACTGAATTGAGTTGAAGACTTTAAAAAAAAAAAAAAATCCACTATAATGTGCCTCTCTCATGTAAGTTCCAGGTGCATTTCGGGGTACTTTCCCTGTAAAACTAAGTCCAAGGATCTGTTGGTATTTTGCAATTTGCCTGGCAGATTTCAAGATGCCGGAAGGACTGGGCTCTAGGACCATGTATGGAGCACTTACGAGCACTCCATGCATGGTCTGCTCTGAGGGGTCAGACACCATGTAGCAAAAAAATGGACTGTACTCCAGGTTTCCACACTGTACCAGTGATGGAGAACTGCTCCTGATAAGTGCTCCAGAACAAGAGGCTGGCATGACCCTAACCACAGAAGAAGATCCGGGCACTCATAAAAACTTTTTTTGTGCAGACTTTATTAGGAATTGCAGGTTAAGAAGTTGCAACGTATATTTATGACTTGACAAAGTAAGGCGTTTGTCAAGTCATAAATATAAGTGAACTAGCATTGTATATATACACTAAACCATAGGACATACCCCTTCAATAGTGCCCTGGGAAGGCTGCTTTCTTGTCTGTCCATCTCCATCCAGAAAGGTGGGCTGGCAAGATTGGCAGGTATGCAATGTGTGTGTGTATTTGTTCCTGTGCCTCTTTGTGTATGTGTTTATTTGCTTTTTCCTTTGTCTGTGCATGTTTTTCTTTCTGTAGACAAAAATTGTATTTTCCAAGGATATGCACTAAGGTGTTAATTGCTGGGAATTCAAAGTAAATTTTAAACTTGAGGCCACGTCCGCTATATTTTGAGTTTGTCTACTTTGGCCTAAAATTTGAAATTCATGTGAAATTCTTGCAAATCCATACTTTAGTGGATTACCACCAGTCTCTTCGTTGAAACAAAAAAATGGATAAAAGTTAATTGATAGTTTTGTCAGAATTTCAAATTGCAATTTTTAACTGCTGAACAAAAAATGCTTAAGATACACATACCTAGGCAGGATTCACCGCCCTGTAACACAAATTACTGCATTTCCATTCACCAAAGTAACACAAATGTTCTATTTGCTGGCCTTACAGCAATCCTGATTTTAGCAGGACAGTCCTGATTTTAGAATCCTGCCCTGATTTTGTTCCCTGGTGTACCGCTTTTGGGGACAGCACCTTGGCGTTGCATTCACGCCAAGCTGACCTGTGAATCCTTCAAGCAAACATGCCTGTGACACGGTTTCACTGGTCTTCCCCCTTTAACCTGCCCATCAGTGTCCTGCTGCTTGGGAAGCTGATGTTGTCAGGGTGTGTATTTCAGCTGTTCTGAAGACACACTGGGGATTATACAAAAAATTGGGAATTGTGGACACTATAGAAAGAAATATAGGTCAAAATAGCAGAGCTAGGTAAAATAGCTTAAAATCTGCGCAGTGGCTTAACATTTGCAAATTCACTTTTCTGTTCTTCTCCATTCTTAGATTAGCAAATAAACCTCACTGATATATTATTTTTATAGTAGTTGGATCTTTTCCTTTAACAATGTTGCATATTATTATAACTATTATCCACGACTACTTAGTTTTTGCAGAGTTGACTCCTGAAATTCATATGAAACCTGGGATATAGAACGTAAACTGACACAGCAGGCTGGAGGGATTGCCATCCCTGCCAAAGGAATGCCATCTCCCACAGCCCTTAATAATCCATTATGGGAATAATAAGCAAAAAAAAACCATGCAAAAATGTTCAAATTAAACAAAATACTTGCATTATGCCTGGTTATAAAGATCAGAAACAGACTGATACTTCTCAGCCAGCATTGACCCTTTCATTTATTTAAATTGGAATGTATTGCTCTCACTTGCACTGCAGCAGTGGTTTATGGGATACATCTAACAGCGTAGAAATGGTTAATAATGTAGAAATATGTTCTTTATCGAGCTCTTTCACTCTGACATTCTGGCTGCTTCTCATTCATGAAAGTCTATATGACAGTGATATACCTGCTGTGTAGGGGATTGTGGCAGATAAAAATAAATTTCCTAGCATTTATCTCTTTTTATGTTAGGAGATTGAGAAGAGAAGGGTAATGCCATGGCGCAGGTAAAATTTTAAGTTTGTTTATTAAGCATGCTTCGGGCAAAAAACTAAAAATTTTAACGTGATTTTCGCACCTTGGGTGCCTGAAATGTCCATTTAAGGTAAAAAAGGACATACATGTGTATATATGTATAAGAAAAAAATATACATACAGAAACTAAATAAGCTAGTATATTATGTTTAAATAAAGAAATAAAAATAATTTCCTTTAACTAAGGGTTTCTCATGCACTAGTTTGAAAATTATTGATTTCACAGACAGAAATATGGGACAGCAAAGCTGAGTCACTGAAATGCTTGTTAAAAACCTGCAGTTATATTAAGCTGTGAAACGGTCAGATAATGTGCTGAGCAAAACCCTAGAGCTATTATCATTGACTGGTTTGAGACCAAATGGTACATCTCTGATAAAGATAGGCAAGGTCTGGGTGTTCAGCTGCTAACAAGCATGATGGGAGTTCACTGCGGCTGTTAGGGGGCAATAGATGGCCTAGGACAGTATAAAGATGGCTCATACATGTAACAATAGAGTGAGGGTAGTCATATACCAGACCTCGAGCTGTAGTAGACTACAAATCCCATGAATCTTTCCTATCCGGGTACTTTGTTTTTGCTTGTCAAGGTTTATGGGAACTGTAGCCTGTCAAGAGCTGAAGGTCTGTGATTTAAATACCCCCAAGGAAATGTATATGACTAGGCAGTAACATACGTGAAACAGGAGGATTATATAAAGCAATAAATAAGGAGCCATTATATTGAGCAACATATTTCCAACCAGAATCCCATAAACCGAGCTCAAGTATGAGACCATAATTCACAAATATGCCTAATTTCACCATTAACTATCGTATAGCATTTAAAGGGACACTTGAAGTACCACAACTACCTATATATTATGTAATATGCCTTGTCTTGTTCTGTTGTCTGCAGTAACCACCTTGCTAACAGGAGCCCCCATTCTGTCGCTATGTACCATGCCTTTCCCTCCCACACTGCCTTTCTTTATAGCCGTATGGGCTCATGTTAATTTGACCACTCCAAACCTCAGGCGTTTTTCAGTAAATAGCCGTACTTGGACTTTCTGGCGGAATTGACAACTGATACTGAATCTATTTAAGCCTTAGACCAGTCAGGACTCATTGCCCTTTTCTGGTTGTCATAGTTCTTAAGTGCATATATACATGGAGTGCTTTTACTGTTAGTCTTAGCTGGTATCTTAACCTTCCAGATATCCAAAAACCTTATACCTTTACCTTGGCTCGTTTACAGACTTCATGGTTAGCTCAAAACCTGACTTGAGCTATTCTAATGTAGTTGATTTTTTTTTGTTTCTTTCATCCTATGTTTCACCCCTCCCTGGAGGTATATCCGTTAATCCAGACTCTTTAAGGGCCAGTAAATGTTTCCCTATTATGTTAACCTTGCTTTCTCTATCTGGTTAGGGCCTGACATACATTTGTGGGTTAATCTACTAGCTGAACATTGCTTCTGTTAATTATAAAACAGATCTGCAATTAGCTTAATTACTAAAAAAGAAAGGAGCAGATGGGCTGTTTCTTCTGTCAGCTTTCTTAGTAGTTTCATTCATGTGCGAAAATTTATAGGATATGGTCCCTTTAAAAAGCAACAGGAAGGATAGGATTGGCTGAGAGATCTTTCGTAGTGACTGCAGAAGCTGTAGATGAGCAGTAACAATGAAATTTTAGAGGCTTAGTCATTCTGTTGATTTTCTTCATTTAGTTACATTTATTTTTGCTTATTTAAAAAAAGTATCTAATGCATTATAAAGAAAATCCATCTCTAGTGTGAAGAGATACCCAATGGTACGTCATAGGTATAGCACTTATGGTAGAGAGGGAAGGTTAAATCCCACACATCATATAATATTTAGATGGTCCATAGCATCCCAAGTACGACAGATTGGGTATTCCTGTCAAGGTGTCTTGAAATCAGTCTTGAAATAGTGTCTAAATTACAGGGGAGGGGGGAGGGAGTAAGATCTTTTTAGTTGAGCCCAGTTAGATCAAGTATACTGACAGATCCTCTTTTTTGACCTATGGTAATATTAAGAGATTCTAAAGAGAACAGTTGTATATAATATTAAAACCACTTATTCATCTAAAGCACCACCATATATTGTGGAGCTGTGTAATGTATGAAACAATGTTTAGAAAACTTTGCTTTACTTTAATGTCCGCAAAAGCGCAAAAGTACAGAATGCCCTTCTCATATGAGCATATAGTGAAATAAGGAAGGGTATAAATGGTCAAATATATGTAGATAAAGCAAAAGAGAAGCCTGGTCACTCACAGAGTTCTTAAAGGATCAGTATAGGGTCAGGAACACAAACATGTATTCCTGACCTTAAAGTGCTAAACCCACCATATAGGTGGCTTGCCCCACCCATAACAATACATGTAACAATAGAGTGAGGGTAGTCATATACCAGACCTCAAGCTGTAGTAGACTACAAATCCCCTTTTGCTTTATGTATTCCTGACCTTTTAGTGCTATACCCACCATTTAGGTGGCTTGCACCCTCTCCCCCCTCCCCCCCCCTTAGCCTCCTTATAAAAGTTTAAAACTCACCTTATTTCCAGCGCTGACTCTGCCGAGGTTGGCTCCGCCTCCTTTGTGACATCATCGAAATGGCTGATTTTTAGCTTTTTTTTTGGCAAAAATCAGCACTGGGGAGGGGCCAAATGTAATTTTGCCCAATCAGGACCTCCTCATAGAGCTGCATTGAATCAATGCATCTCTATGAGGAACATTAACGGCAGGGCTGCTTACTGTGCAGCTCTGAGCCAGGAAGCCCGTCCAGTGGCCATCTGAGGTGTGGCCCCTTGGAGGTGTCCCTAGGGGCAATGTAAACACTGTATTTTCTCTGAAAAGGCAGTGTTTACATGAAAATGCCGGAAGGGAGCTATTATACTCACCAGAATATTAAACTGTAGTTGTTCTGGTGACTATAGTGTCCCTTTAAGAACATATATAGCAGGTAGAGAAAAGACCTTGATGAAGACACCCATAATGATAAGGTAATGGGCAATATAGAGATATATAAATACTGCCTATATGAAACATATTAGGAATTCACTTCTTGTTGTAGATAATTCTTTGCCTGATGTAAGACTGTTAAAGCATTGTAGAAGCTGGTGATATATCCTTTTGCCTCCCCTGCATTAGCAGTAGGCCTAAAGATGTCTACATATTGTCTGCGTATTCCCTATATAAACCCATTATAGCTGTAATGGCATTTTTGCCTGCAGCTTTTAACATTGTAACAGAAATTGAAAAAAACCTATATTTAAAAAAACAAACAGTTTCCAAAAGATGGATGGTCAAGACCACCGTATAACACAACATAATTTGGAATATTTTTTTATGTAACAAATATATATATTAAGTTAATAAATGTAAAGAAAGACATTTCCAAATTCATACATTTAAACTCAGATACTGAATTCACTTTTTTTGTGCTTTCGATACTTGTATATTGTGTAGGTGAGATCTGTAGACAATAAACATATATTCCTGCATCAGGGAGAACACAAATGGGGAAAACACATGTGCATTCCTAATATGTAATGGACTAATTTATCACGCACTTTAGTATGGTTATCACTATGGGGTACTAGAGAGTGAGCGTAGAAACCTCACATTTTATCTGTAGTAACCCCCAGTCCTTTAATAAAAAAACAAAAAAAAACAATATAAGGTAAAAACAATTAATTTATTTTACAGAGGCTTATTTTCATAGTTTCATAGAATAACATTGGAGCTCTCACTTTTTTGGGGTGGCTGTGCCACAGATATTCAGACACAATGGATCACAACGCATATGGGCATCACACTCTGAAGGTATCTGTTAATTCTTTAGATTTGCCCCAAATGCTGAATGTGGGGTAGAACGTGTAAGAATTGTGGAATGTTTCTCTTCTACAGCTGGAAAGTGCCCAGTCTTTTACTATCCTACACGCTCAAACCTTCTCATCTACCCTCTTCCCAACGAAGAGGGAAAAATGCACATCACACGTTCAACAGAGATCCTGGGTATGACCAAAAGTGGGCCTGTCATGAAAAATATTGAGGTACCAGTGTGGAGCCAAAGATGCTGTTGTATGGCGCCAATGGCACCATACAGTTTATGGTGATAGTTGATGTTGAATTTCTGCCTTCTGTTCATTTTGAGAAATGTATGAAGAGCTCAAACCATATTAAATCAGTTGTGTAATACATTAGAACCTATGTTTTTAACCCAGACTCCCAGACTATCGGTAGAACAAGAATTCCTGAGAACTTTTTTGTAACAGTGGGATGTGCTAAAGACATCCATCTCTACTTTCATTTACTTGTGTGCAGTCATGGTACATGTTATAATTCTGGAGAAAATGTGTCTGGAATCATGTTTCTAAACAGATTATTACTGAATCTCCCTAAAAGGTCACCAAGGTCCACCACACAATTGCAACTAGGATGAGCTAGTCAATGGCTTGAGGGGCCAAAAAGTAGTTACTGCAAAAGTTTCTAAGGCTCAGTCGAAAATACAATAGCAATGTAAGAGTAGAAAAACAGTTACCCAGAAAATAAATTATATAAACGGGGTATTACAATTTTATTATATATTACATTTAGCGTTCTATATAAGAACTGTTATATGACAAAAAAAAAAAAAAAAAGACTTATATCTATAAATAGAGTTGGTATATTAGAGTGGATTTTAAATTAAATGAATGTTTTACATAACACATGGACTATAACTAACGATTCAATACTGCATCTCCGCAAGTTCATTTGGTCTCCATGTCTTGATTTTGTCTTAATCTCTTTTTTTTCCCCCTCATATGTTGGAAGTGTCTAACTATGCTCCTTGTATCTATTTGAGCCTCAGGGAGATATTGAATATGTCAGTCTGTCACTGGTGAAATACTTATGTACTGTCTTTAATAGCAGGATAGGCAGCCTCAGGCACTTGAGCTGCAGTGGACTATCTATCCCAGGAGCATCATGGGAAACTCAGTCCATATATAGAGTGCCAAAGCTGCCTATCCCTGATGTGTATTAGAAAACTCATCTTGAATGTGTGCTTTTCTCCTTCAGTGATCAACCTTAGCATGTGCCACTGAATTTTCAAATGAGTTAACTTCTAAAAGCCCGGCCTGGCGCTGTCTGTGTCTGTTCGACTGTTTATTTATACAAAATATAACGTGGTTACAAACCTTCCTTTCAAAGCGTTAATCTTGCTCATAGATAATGACTCCTGCAAGAAAAAAAAAAACGGGAAAAAAATATTACAGATTTTCTGATTCCATTTAATTTATAGTAATAATTATTTTATTTTTCATTTGTTTTTATTTATTTATTTTTATTTTTTTTCTTAATAAAAAATAAAAAAAATCTCAACAGATATAAATAAATGTAAATATGTAACTGACGTCCTGGACAGAAGATGGATATGGTGATTTATTTCATTATGGGAATTTGGGCTATAACATGATTGTTATATTTTTTTTTTGTCTCCGCTAAACACTGTGACAACCAAACAAAAGATGAGTTTAAAAGTATCAATTGCCCGTGCTGTACCTCTGCTGTATATACCTGTTATGATGTTACAGAGTCCATGTGAATGAAAGTCATGTAGTGCTGATGTATGTTTTGTGTATAATTATCACGTTGTGTGTACGTGTGTCTGTGTGTGTGTGCATGTGTGCTTGGCACTAATTCGTGATTTATTTTTTGTGTATCAATCATTGCGTATCTGTATTGGAACGATGGAGAAACTGGTAAAGTTTGTGAAAGTCTACCACTGATATGTGAACCTATCCGCAGTGGAAAGGGTCAATTTTATGCTTTTTGTGTTACTTCCTGATGATGTTTTCTATATAGACAGATACATTGATACGCTGACAAAATTTCACTGCACCAAACAGACCCACTCAAAGCAGGACAGGTCTGAAATAATATGCAAGTTCCATGGTCCTGATTGACTCCTCTGGTATTGAAGAAAAATAGATTATCTGCATCCACACACAAAGTGGTCAGAGATTCTCTAACATTGGAATAACGGAGATTGCGTTTAAGAGGGAGGGTTATAATAATTAGAAATTAGTGCCCATGATTACTGATGTATTACATTTTAATTATTCACAGGTGCAAGCCTATGCAGACCTATATAAAGACAAATAATAGGGCAAGACTTTCTAATTTGGCTAATGAATGTTGCATGTGCAGCCTTGTGTAAGGTAGTTCATTTATAAAGGATGCAATCACATTACCCTTTATTACCTGTTAGATAAAAAGGGAATAAAGTAGAAAATAGTAAATATGGTGATCATGAAAATGTATGTACAATATGAAGGTAGGTTTGATTATCTTCATGAAAAGGTCTGGCACGTGACTGCCCTGATTTGTCATCCGACATGAATGGTACGGTTCTCAGCATCCAGGATGTCTCGACTTAAAGGTCCACTAGACCTAGATTCATTTTTAATGCACTATATAATCTAGAAACTGGCAGTTAATCTACAACTCCCAGAAACCACTTCTGGGTTCAATCTCTCACAATAGTACAAGTACTTGTATGGACTTCAGGAAGCTCAGTTTCTCCTGTGACATATTTGAGTAATTGGTGAGCTATGCCATAATTATTGCTGATTGCTGCAGCTACAGAGACTATGTAAATGGAGAGAGAGATAGAATGGAGAGATAGATCCTGGCAAATTAATGCAAAGAATATAAGTTGTTATAGAGTTTGGACTATCCCTTTAATGCTGCATCATTTGTTATGATAATAATATGTGTATAAGGTTAAATGGGCACACCTGGCTGGAACTGGACTATACTTTTTTTTTACTAAATCAAATCATATAGATATTGCATTTAATAATATGCAAAAACAGCCAATCCAAAATAATAAAAAGATGAAAACATACTAAAATTTGAAGTTGCTGAATTTACAATGAATTCCCAAGGATGGCCATCACACTCCCCAGACAGCAGAGTGATCAGCAAGTCATTATGCTCCATTATGTTTCTATGACGCTCTGCAAAGTGCTGACTTTATCAAAGTCCCTACACAGCATGAGTCTATGAAACGATGTATAAGAACAGCAAACAGAGGGAGTTGTAAAAATGGCATGGAGTGCACAAAATACAAGCCAAACACAAAAAAGGTAAATAAACTGTAGATTTTTTTTGGGGGGGTGGGGGGGTTTGTCATAAATTTCATTTGCTTTTGTTCATATTACACTGTACAATGCAGCAGGCAAGGCGCTGTTACGGAGAACAATTGTTGACAAATAAGATTTACATCGTATAACAATTATCAATCAGTGGTTCTCTTATTCTCATCTTGGCCCCTATACAGCTCACTCTTTCCTAGTTCTGTACAGGTTTAATAAACTGTAGTTCTAACCCCTTAAGGACACATGACGTGTGACATGTCATGATTCCCTTTTATTCCAGAAGTTTGGTCCTTAAGGGGTTAAACATGATGAGTATGTATGTAACAGAGTATTACAATCAGTAGGATAATATATGTGACTGGAAATAGGCGAAGATATATACCGCAGAGTCTCTTTTTCCAAAATCAGCAATATTAAAATTGGGTTTTGTTTGGCAGACTCTAGGCTTAGGAAACAATATTGTCTGTCCAAGTAAGCCCAAGTGATTCTTTATGCACATTTACTGTGTGTACTTTCCTTCTCTTGGTTAAATGCCACATTATGGGATAGCAGTGCACCATAGTATCTTATGAGATCCAAAAGAAAACATGCATTAGCCACGGGAATTTGGCAGACGACTTGATAACCTGAAATGTTATAAGTTAGGAATTCTTCAGGAGATAAGACATTGGATGAATGTGGTGCTGTCTGGGCAAGTTTAAAATTCATTTTGATGTTTCTATGTTGGCTCAGTGAATTTTGTGTCCAGTTTCCTAGGTGGATGGTCAAAGTTTATCATGAATCCTGAATGATGGTTGGTTCTGTCACCTCTTGCTGGTTTGCATCAAGTTGAGCCTCATCCAGTGTGGTCTTTAAAATCAATAAGGACACAAGTAGTATACCAACATTTGTCTCAGGAAATGGGATGGTAAGATGGTTGGAGGGTTAAAGGGACACTATAGTCGCTGTAAAAGCTGCTTCATTGGGCAGTGCTGCAGAGTAAACAACACTGCCATTCACTGTCTCAACCCTCTGAATGCAGACACTGAACTTTCCTCATAGAGATTCATTGATTCAATGCATCTCTATGAGGAGATGCTGATTGACCAGGGCTGTGTTTGACTTGTACTGGCTCTGACCCTGATCTGCCACCTTGACAGTCTCAGCCAATCCTATAGGGAAGCATTGTGATTGGCTCAGACCACCGCTTCTGCTGATGTCAACAGAAATGGGCAGGTTAGAGGCAAATAGGGGCAGAGCCAGGAGCTGCAGACTTGCATACAAGTAAAATTTTAATATATTTAGAGAGACATGGGGTGACGGGGTGGGTGGGGACCATAGATGGTGATTTTAACACAATAGGGTCAGGAATACATGTTTGTGTTCCTGACCCTATAGTGTTCTTTTAAATTAATATTGGATTAAAAAAAAAAAATTCTACTGGAGGAATGTATATTATCATTGAAGATTACATCAGCAAAAGGCAAAATATCCACTAATTTTCTTGGCAGGATGGGCATAGGAAACATTGTAGGATGCTCCTTTAAAAGTATATTTGTTCCTTTTTGTTGCCTGTTACATACATATATATATATAAATATATATACAGCCAACTATATCCACGGTCTTACATAATATACTACTAGCAGAAGAGTGATATGAACCTGATTTATAGGGAGATGTGTAATTAAGTCTGATCATTGGTGGGTCAGCATCATAATCAAAGCCTGAAAAAAGCCTGTTGGTCTGTTGCATTCTGTTTTAATCACAGGAAGCTTCATAGACACAGATTATGAAATTTCTGACCAGCAAAACGTTTGCATAACTAAATGCACCACATTATGCACTCTGGGTGAATAGCTAGTGGGAAATCATGAACATGCTTCAGGACTTCCATTTGGAAGACTTCTAGAATGACATGAGTACGCTGGAGGAATAAGCCTTCATATGCAGAAGAAGCTGGCAGGCTTCTGGTGCTAGGATTGAATCATTCACAACAAGTATTTTGGAAAAAGAACTACTGTGTAAAGAAGAAGAAAACACCTAACCTTTCTGGTGTGGAATCTGTTAGGCACAAACGGTTATTTTCAATTATAGAGGCTGGTTATATGAATGTACAACTCATTCAAGAAAAAATAATGGTGTTAGATAACTTTTGAGAAAAAATAGCCACCAGATAAAGATTATATAGAAAGAAAAATAGTGATTTTATCATTTGTAATTTATTTAAAGCTAGTAAATTTATTTAGCTAGATGTAAGAATTATATATACTGATCAGCTACAGCATTAAAACCACCTGCCTAATATCATCAAGGTCCCTCTCGTTCTGCCAAAATAGTTATGATGCATCTAGGCATGGACTCCACAAGACCTCTGATCGTGTCCTGTGGTGTCTGGCACCAACACATTAGGAGTAGATCCTTTAAGTCCCGCAAGTTGCAAAGTAAGTCCTTCATGGATGGGATTTCCAGCACATCCCACAGGAATTTAGGGAACAAGGAAGACCTTGAATTCTTTGTCATGTTCCTCAAACCATTCCTGAACTATTTTTGCAGAGTGGTGGTAGGATGCATTATCCTGCTGAAAGAGTCCACAGCCATTAGAGAACACCATTGCCATGAAGGGGTGTACATGGTCTGCAACAATCTCTAGGCAGGTGAGGGAGTTTAAGCATACGTAGGATAGGCATAAGGCTAGAAAATTGGGCAGACTAGATGTGGTACATGTCAACGTAATAGCCACATGAATGTCAGGACCCAAGGTTTCCTGGCTGAACATTAACCAGAGCATAACAGTGCCTCTGGTGGTCTGCCTTCTTCCCAGAATGCATCCTGCTGCCATCTCTTCCTGAGGTAAACGATGCACACACACCAGGCCATCCTCCTGATCTAAAGGAAAATGTGATTCCTCAGACCTGGCAACCTTCTACTATTGCAGCGACACAGCCCCATATGCAGCAAATTGTGATGCACTGTGTGTTCTGACATGGCCAGCATTAGGTTTTTCAGAAATTTGAGCTACAGTAGCTCTTCTGTGTGATCAGACCAGATGGGCTAGCCTTTGCTCCCCATGTGCAGCAATGAGCCTTGGGCACCCATGATCCTGACACCGGTTTACTGGTTGTCCTTCCAATTTTGGTAGGTACTAACCACTGAATACTGGGAACACCCCACAGGACTTGTCGTTTTGGAGATGCTCTGACCCAGTCATCTAGCCGTTACTTTTTGGTCCTTGTCAAAGTCACTCAGATCTTTTTGCTTACCCATTTTTTCCTGTTTCTGTTTCCAGCAAATGAAATTCAAGAACTGACTGCTTACTTGCTGCCTAAAATATCCACTCCTTGACAGATGCCATTGTAATGATATAATCATTGTGTAATGATAAAATCACCTGTGGTTTAAATGTTGTGGCTGATAAGTGCATGTTGCATGCCTTTCTAATAGGCTGCTAGTAAATGTGATATGCATAAGCCACTAATGAAGGTAAAAAGGTAGATATGTCTTGGACATTTTTCCAAGTGGGAAAGTGGGAAAATGGTCCGAAAATGGTTAGGAACTGCTACCAAAAATAAAAATTAGACACCTTTTTGAGAATTGAGAGATGAACTACACCAACCATCAGATGTAGGAGATTAGCTGTAGACTTTTGCAGATGCATATGGGGTACTTTAGGTCAGATGAGATCTATTGAAACAAACCCTCAAATCAGTTTTGATAAACACGTAAACACAGTACTGGGGGTTGGAGACAATTCAGATACTTATCTTAAATGGCCCAAGAAGCAGGGTTCTAGTCCTATGTTAGCCAGACTTGGCAGGTAGCACAGATGACAGGGATAAGTGAGTAGAGTTTCATAATACATACTTGGAAAGCTAAGTTTGAACTAATGAGCAAAATATTGTCCATAGCTTCTTGTGGTTGGAGGACATAAATTAACCTTTCTGCTGATCAGTGACATATACAATACTGTATAGTTGTCAGTGATACTGAGAACAGGAAACAGTTAACATCTAGAATGAGATATAGCAGAAACATTGGAATGCTGGCTACACAAGTGAGATGAAAGCTGGATAATAGGAACTTTTAGAACTAGGAGCTAGTGTTTGGATCAAATAAAAAAAAATGCTGCTGGTGATAAATTTGATAAACATGTAGTGTGCAAATTACACATGCATCACAATTACATGAGTGTTCTGGATCATTTGAGAATGACCTAAATCCTAAATTTCAAATATGCCCTTATGTATTCTAAATATTCAATACAGATATGACTGTGACACAAACTTTCATTGGAAAAGGTTGCAGTGTACCTGTGTGTGTTGTGTGTCTTAGGTTTGGTGTGTTTGTGTGTTCATCCTGGTAAAATTATGTATATATTCTGTTTGGCAGATTGATAAAGCAATTAAGTTGTGTGGCATGACGGACTGACTGGGAATTATTATCCAAATGCCCCCCTTCCTCCCCCTCGTGTTCCCCCTGTCACGGGGGCGGGTCAAGAGGTGATGCCTCCCCCCCGTCGTGTTTGTCTCCATATCAGACGCGGCAAGGGAGTTGTGTGCTCTCTGCTCCCTCGCGCTGTGCGCCGTTTGCTGACGTCATATTCCGGCTCCCAGCTACTGTAGACAGCCCGCGTGGCGAGAGGGAGCAGAGAGCACACAGCTCCCTCGCCGCGTCTGATATGGAGACAGGCACCCGACCCACTGGACCCCAGGAACATGTCCACGCCAGCTCTCCAGGTAGGGAGGCTGGGTGGACATTTAAAAAAAAAAATAATAATCATTTGTGAGTGTGTGTGTGTCTGAGTATGTGCGTGTCTGCGAGTGTATGTGTGTGTGTCTGTGAATGCATGTGTGTGTGTCTGTAAGTGTGTCTGTGAATGTGTGTGTGTCTGTGAGTGTATGTGTGTCAGTGTATGTGTGTCTGTGAATGTATGATTGTGTGTCTGTGAGTGTATGTGTCTGTGAATGTATGAGTGTGTGTGAGTGTCTGTGTGTGTGTGTCTGTGAGTGTATGTGTGTCTGTGAATGTATGAGTGTGTGTGAGTGTCTGAACGTGTGTGTGTGTGTCTGTGAGTGTATGTGTCTGTGTCTGTGAGTGTGTGTGTCTGAGTATGTGTGTCAGTGTGTGTGCACACGTGTATATATATATATATATATATATGTGTGCATGTCTGTGTATGTGTGTCAGTGTGTGTATGCACGCATATATAGAGAGAGAGAGAGTAGGTAAAAACGGGATGCACTCACAGGTCTTCCAAATAGTGAAAATTGTGTTTTATTTAAATAATAGGATGCATATAGAAATCGATCGATTTCTATATGCATCCTATTATTTAAATAAAACACCATTTTCACTATTTGGAAGACCTGTGAGTGCATCCCGTTTTTACCTACTCTGTACACCGGACGATTGTGTATTTAGCACCCAGGCAAGATTTTTCTTATATTATATATTGAAAGGAGAGTGACAAGCTTTCATTGTTATTATATATATATATACATATATATATATATATATATATATATATATATATATACACACACACGAGTGTATATTATTTTTTTGGGGGGGGTGGGAATCTTGGGAGAGTTCCCACACTCCGGATCTCCACTGTCGGCTCATGCAGAGCCGGCGCTATCTGAGTGCCGGCTCTGCTCTAAGCCTCCATGGGCCGGCGTGGAGATCAAAGATCTACCTCACCGGCCCACAGCAGCATGGAGAGAGGCAGGAGAGGACCCGGGGAGCTCTAGACAGTAGCCCGCCAGGTTCCTCTCGCGAGAGGCTAGAGTTCACTCTCCACTGGACCACCAGGGATGGCACATGGAAGCAAGGATCCCCCCTCCCTACATAAGGTAAGAAGGGAGGGGGTATATTTACTAATCTGCCCCCACCTCCACAATCCCTCCAAACATACAGCACACACACATACAGCACCCACACACACACAGCACCTACACACATACAGCACCCTCACACACACAGCACACAAACAGCACTTACACACACAGCACGCTCACACACACAGTACACAAACCACACCCTCACAAACACACACAGCACCTTTACAAACATACAGCACCCTCACACACAGCACACTAACAGCACCCTCACAAACACACACACACAAACAGCACCCTCGCAAATACACGACACCCACACACATCACACAAACAGCACCCACACACAGCACACTAACAGGACCATAACAAACACACGCACACACACACAAACACCCTCACACACAGCACACTACCAGCACCCTCTCACACAAACACAAACACCCTAACCCACATAGCACACTCACACACATCACACTAACAGCACCCTCACACACACACAGCAGCACCCTTACACACACACCACCCTCACACAGCACACACACACACAGCAGACATGCACACACATGTATACATAAACATGCGGCGTGTGTTTGTGCTTTAGGGTGCACACCCTAATGCAATAGGCTGTGCAAGCCTTTGACAGGGGCTGTAGAGTGAAATAAAGGGGCAATAGAGGGGACAGGGGCTGTAGAGGGAAATAGAGAAGCGGTATAGGGGGCGCATGGGCAGTATGGTGGGGCAGAGGCTTTAGAGGGAAATAGAAGGGCTGTAGAAGGTGGGCAGAGGCTGTAGAGCTAAATAGAGGGGCTGTAGACAGGGCAGGGGTAGTATGGTGGGGAAGGGGCTATAGAGGGAAATAGAGGTGCTGTAGAGGGGCACATGGGGCACTAGAGGGGTGCAGGGGCAGTATGGTTGGGGCTGGGGCTATAGAGGTGCTGTAGAGGGGCACGTGGGGCAGTAGAGGGGGCAGAGGCAGGATGGTGAGGGCAGGGGCTATAGAAGGGGCTGTAGAGGGACAGGGGCAGTATGGTGGGGCAGGGGCAGTATGGTGGGGGCAGGGGCTATAGAGGGAAACAGAGGTGCTGTAGTGGGGCACATGGGGCAGTAGAGGGCGGGTAGGGGCTATAAAGAGAAACAGAGGTGATGTAGTGGGGCACATGGGGCAGTATGGTGGGGGCTGTAGAGGGAAATAGGTACTGTAGTGGGGCACATGGGGCAGTAGGGGGGGCAGTATGGTGGTGGCAAAGGCTATAGAGGAACATAGAGGGGCTGTGGAGGGGGCAGGGGTAGTATAGTGGGGGCAGGGGCAGAATGGTGGGGGCAGGGGCTATAGAGGGACATAGAGGGGCTGTAGAGGGGGCAGGGGTAGTATGGTGGGGGCAGGGGCTGTAGAGAGGTGCAGGGGCATTAGAGAGGGGTTGCAAAAAAAAAACAACATTCTAAAAGTTCTTCCCCCACTCCCTTCCCCTCCCAGAGGCTTACCTTGGGCCAGTGAGGGGAGAACCTTACCCTTAGTGGTCGGCTGGGACAGGTTACACTGGAGGCTGGAGCTGCAGTCAGGACCTCTGTGGTGTCTGGGAGCAGTAGAAATCCTGCCCGCTTCTGACATCATCAGAGGAGGACAGCTGACTTCACTGCCAGGCTCCTGCTGTGTGCTGGCTGCAGGGAGAGAGGTGATTTTAAAAATCTGAGTCCCCAGCCAGAGGCAGGGGATTCAGATTTTTGCACCCCCCCTGCTCAAGCACCCTAAGGTGGCCGCCTGTGCCCCATTATGGACGCGTCGGCCCTGCCTGTCCCTGCAGCCAGAGCACTGTGAACGCTGCCTTTTCAGAGAAAATATTTACATTACTGCCTAGGGACATCTCTAGCGGCTACTAGAGGTGCTTCCTGCGTGAGTGTAGCACTGGCGTTCAGCATTTCTATGCTCTGCAAGGAGACGTTGAAGATTTTCCATAGAGATGCTTTGATTCAATGCTTCTCTATGAGGAGATGCAGATTGGCGCAGCGTTTTAGCCTCCCAATGCTTTCTTATGGGAAATCATTGGATTGGTTGAGATCTTCAAGAATAATGATCTCAGCCATGGAGGCGGGGCCAGCCTCAGCAAGACCAGTGTGGCATGAGAGAAAAGGTGAGTAAAATCACCTTTCCCATGTGATCTAAGGAGGCAAAGGACCTAAATAGTCAGTTAAACCACTGTAGTGTTAGGAACCGAAGTTTGTGTCTTTTCACTCTAAAATTCTATTAATTCCTGCTTTGCCCAGTCTGTACATCTGCCTTTCTCACAATCTTATTCTAACTTATTTTATATTACCTTATGTTTGTATTAGTTAACAAATAAGGGCCAGTATTTAAAATGAAAAAAAAAAAAAGATACACATAACGATGGCTTACCCTTCATTTCTCAGTAAATGTTAGCATATGATTTTTCTATTTACAATTTCTGATTTTGTTGCATTTTAAAAGGAGTTTAACACAATACACAATTTAACTACACATTTGTTTTTTCACACTTTCTCTGGCTCAGCTTATTAGCCTGTTAACCTGTTTGTCTGTATTTCTGGCTCTATCCCGCTTACTTATATCTATCTGTCTTTCTCTATCGACCATAGTTCTCTAAACTTGTCTTTTATGTCACATTTGTCTGTATGTCCTTCTGTCAGTCCATCTATCTTTATACCTACTCACCATACACCATACAATTGACTCAAAATTGTTTTTGTTTCTGCATGTTTCTCGCACTTCCAGCATCTGCCTATCATATTTTGCCTTTTGGTTTGATTATATTGGTTTTCTCTAATATTCATTTATCTATTTAAGGAACACTGTAGGGCAAGGAACATAAACATGTATTCCTGACTCTATAGTGTTTAAACTTCCATCTAGCCCCCCTACCCCCTTGCCTCCCTTAAATATAGTAAAATGTTACCTTTACATCTGCACCTGATCTGCCTGCTTGGCTGGCATCATCAGAAGTGGTGGCCTGAGGCAATCACAATGCTTCCCCATAGGATTGACTGAGACTGTCAAGGAGGCAGATCAGGGTCAGAGCCAGTACAAGCCAAACACAACCCTGGCCAATCAGCATCTCCTCATAGAGATACATTGAATCAATGCATCTCTATGAGGAAAGTTCAGTGTCTCCATGCAGAAGGTAGAGACACTGAATGGCAGTGCTGCACCACTGGCGGATCCAGGGGGAGCAACAACAGTGCATTGCTCTCCCCTGCCAGCCCTGCTGGGTGCCTTCAATGACCGGAGGGAAGGTCAGTGGCAGGAGAGGGAGAGAGGACCCGGGAGCTCAGCCTGCAGCTCTGCTGGGTTCTCCTGTCACGAGCATGGAGCGTTGCCGCGGTTACTATGGCAACACTTCGGTTCTCACAAGAGTGTACTCTAGCCTCAGGAGCTGCAGGCTAGAGTTCACTCTCACCACTAGGACCACCCGGGATTCTCCACCGGACCACGAGGAATTGCAGGAAATATCCCACTTCCCTCAACAAAGGTAAGAAGGGAGGGGGGATATAAAAATTATTTATTTTAATAAACAAAAATGTATGTATTTATTTATCTGCCCCTCCACCCCAATAACTCCCCACACACAAAGCAATACACACACACACACTTCTCCCCAATATATATATATACACACACACACTGCTCCCCAATATATACACAGACACACTGCCCCCAATATACAGACACACACACTACCCCCAATACACACACACACTACTCCCCAATACACACACACACACACACTGTCCCCAATATACACACACTGCCCCAGATACACACACACTGCACCCCTCACACACACTGCTCCTCTATACACACACAGCACTGCCCCCAATACTCACACACACACACACTGTGCACCCCAATACTCACACACTGCCCCAATACATACACACACTGCCCCTGAAAATACACACACACTGCTCCCCAATACACACATACACACTGCTCCAAAATACACACACATACTGCCTCCAATACACACACACACACACAAACTGCCCCAATTCACACACACACTGCACCCCTCACACACACTGCCCCCCAAAACACACACACTGCTCCCCAATACACACACACACACTGCCCCAACACACACACTGCTCCCCAATACACACAACACTGTCTCCCAATACTCACACACACACACACACTGCTCCCAATACAAACACACCATTGCCACAATACACACACACTGCCCAATACACACACAGCAATGCCCCCAATACATACACAAACACATTGCCCCAATACACACACACTGCACCCGAATACACACACACTGCCTTCCCACACACACACACTGCACCGCTCACACACACACACTGTCCCAATGTACACACACACACACACATTGCCCCCATACACACACTACATCCCTCCTGCCCCTTTACACATACTAGACCCCTCACACCCACAATGCACCCCTATACACACACACACTACATTCCACACACACTACACCCCTCACACACACACTACTGCCCCTATTCCCTACTACTGTCCCTATTCCCAGTGGC